TTTCGCTTGAAAGCCATTGTGTCAATAAATATCATTACAATCTGCATTTCCTGTGTTTTATTTCCCTCTGAGGTTTCTGCACTCAGTTCCCTCTCAATCACCAAAATAAAGGTGTGTGTGTGTGTGTGTGTGTGTGTGTGTGTGTGTGTGTGTCTGCACGTGCACATGTCTGTCAGATAATTGCTTTTGCTTTAACGGATATGTTGAGCATCAGATAGTCTCTAGTTCTAAATTCCATTGTGAAATCAACTTATTTGTGCAGCAAAAGAGTCTATTTGTAGACTATTTGGGGAACCTGAAAGATAGCAATAGCAACAGCACTTAAACTTATATACCGCTGTACAGTGCTTTACAGCCCTTTCTAAGGAGTTTTCCAGGGGCAGCATATTGCCCCCAACAATTTGGGTCCTCATTTTACACACCTCGGAAAGATGGAAGGCTGAGTCAACCTTGAGCCTGCTAGAGTTGGACTGTCAAATTGCAGGCAGCTGGCAGGCAGCAGAAGTAGCCTGCAGTACTGCACTCTAACCACTGCACCACTGTGGCTAAAGATGATGGACAATACATATTGCATGTTGAAACCACATGTTCAATCACTTACATCTCCAGGCCAAAAGATTAGGAAACAGAGCCCTGTTGCACCTTGCTGAGATGTGCTGGAGAAAGCTACAGCATGAAAATAAGACAAATAATATTTACCCAGGGATTACATGCTAGAAGAGAGAGATAGTAAGATAGTTTATAGTTGAAACTATTTTAAATACAATAAGGAACTTATAATAATGTTGTCTAGGTCTAATGAATCTATTCCAATGCAGGACATATAACCCTGTTCCATTAAGCAAGATTTTCTGCTAGAGATGTAGAGAACGGGATTAAAGTAAGTTTATGCACCAAAGTGGTATGCCTGACAATACAAATGCAGCAATACTATGGGATGGTGCATTGTTGTCTACAATTCAGAACTGCATTCCTTTCAAAGTCATTTTTCATGAGATGGGCGGCGATATAAAGTTGATGAATTAATGAATATTTCACATGTCATCTTCCTTCATTATTTGCTTTCCATTAAGTTATGCAATCAGTGTTGTACAATCACCCAAATAAGTATTAGCTCAGTGCTCTTTCTTTAAAGCTGTCATCAGCTGCTTTTCTTTTGATGAATGAAAAGGTTGGGTCACAATTTTCCTGAAGCACTTAGCATTGTGGTTGAGATATATCTGTTTGGGCTGTTTGCATCTGTTAATTAGAAAGCTGTCCTCAAAGGGAAAGAAATTCACATGGGAAAATCTCAAGAGATGATAGTTAAATCTCTTGATAAATCTTTGCAGGGAAGTTTGCTTTTATGTCTTTTAAAGCAGAGATAGTGGTAGGAAACCTGAATAAGATGGTTCTAATAGGAACAATATTTCTAACCTGGTTATTAATAGCAATAACAATAGCAATAGCATTTAAACTTTATATACTGCTCCATAATGCTTTACAACACTCTCTGAACTGTTTATAAATGTCAGCATATTTTCCCTCAACTATCTGGGTCTTCATTTTACTGACTCGGAAGAATAAAAGGCGGAGTCAATGTTGTGCACATCAGGATCGAACTCCTGGCTGTGAGCAGAATCAGCCTGCAGTACTGCATTCTAACCACTGCACCATCAGGGCTCAGGATTAAACGTGGGATTGATTGATGAATTAAACATGGGCACCACTATGAACCTAAATGCTTTATGTATTGCTAGAAACGGGGCTGCAAAACTGTTTAGCATTTGAAGAGATAAACTATAATGTTA